TCCTTAATTGTTATATTAGATATGACGTTATCCTTTTTGATAGTTAAATAAGATGGTACTAAGGCAATTGTCAAGGTAAAACTGAATTGGTTTGAGAACATTGTCACGTTACAGTTGCAGTGACATTATAAGACGAACAGGTTGTTTCTAAAAATAGCTCAACTATATTAATTTGGTAAATTAACGACATCCACGTGGTTATGATTCAACCAATGATAATGTAATAAGGAGTTGTAAAACGTCCCTATTCCAGACCCTGTGTTATTGTGCCAAAACCGTTACGAACGTTATTTCACATCAATCTGATGCATACTTCACTACATGACTATACGGTAGTCTACTGGTAGGACGCCGGGCTCGTGACCGAAGGGTTGCGGGTTCGAGTCAAGGCACGGCACTGTGCTGTATCTTTGAGCAAGATACTTGACTCCGCTTGAGTACGTGATTGGGCAGTGCTAGAATTGGTGAATGCTATATGTGAGCGCCGATATGGAAGCACCGGCTGTATGCTCCCCAGGGAGCTGGAGAAAGATAATCGCTAGCTGCAAAGGCCCTATAACCAAGGATTATAATTTGTGAACCGCTTTGAGACGACCTAGGCACTAGGTTGTGATAAATCAGTAAAAAAGCTCAAATTATTATTATTATTATTATTACATATAATTTCTACAGCTTCTCATGACCCCCAATCCCTGCCAGCTCATTACTCATTGAAACTTAAAAGCACATTAAAATATATCGAATCAGTGAGGTTATGATCGAAGTATTTAAAATATTGTCAGGCATATATGATACATCAGGAACAACGGGCTTCTATTAATTAAACAAGACAAAAGAACTCGAGGGCATTCATTCTGCATGGACAAATCAAGAAGTAGATTAGACGTTCGTAAATACTCGTTTACTCAGCGTGTAGTCAGCAGCTGGAACTCCTTACCCGAGAACGTGGTCTAAGCACCGAATATTATAACATTTAAAAATCGCCTTGATATGTTTTGGGACACTGGCGACAGGATGATTACAATAACACCCGAGTGATGTCACATACACTATATGCCTGCGTTCAGAATAATCTAAGTTAATCTAAGTTAATCACGGCCCGAGGTCGACAATCTCACAGATTATATGTCAATAATTAACTCACAGATCTCTTTTGACACATTGTTTATGTATATTTTGTTAATTCAATGATTTATATATTCAAAACACACATTAACGAAAGCGTTTGTGTTTTTAAACATAATATAAACACTGATTGTAAATAGCACCTTTGGACATGCTACTGTATGGATAATAGCGACCAGACTGTAGGTTAATAGCGCCTGCGGCTTTATATTACTGTATGGTTTATTGGATTAAACATTTTTCTCTCACACAGATGAAAAATTTCGAGTGCAGTTACTGCCAAAAGAGCTTTACAGAGTTTAGTGAAATACTTGAACATTGTATGCAAGATCAACAAACGGAAGATTTTTCTTATAGTTCCAGAGAGATAGAAGTCTCATACATGTATATGTAAATGTATTATACTAAACGATGAAAACTGCAGCGTAAGGGTACAAAGACTTTTATGCTCTCTGTTTAGAAAAATGCCAAAAAAGTTATCAACCCAACAGTGACCTGAGAATTTGTTACAGCTATATTTGGACCTAAACTAAGGTGTTCAGAGTAATTTGATGTTTTAGGGGTTTAGATCGACTTTCGGTAAATATGCCGTTCGAACCCAAGTCTGGCTGTTATATTTTCTCGTTCTCCTGCTGCAAAAGTGGCGAATTTGCTAACCCTTGTTTCAAGCATTGGGAGTACGCTTAGCAAAGGGATACCTGAATTTGGGTTGTAAATAGTTGTGTTTTCGGGGGCGGGGACTTTGAGGAGGGAGAGGGGGATGTAGCGAAACTGGGCTGGATCGATCGTCGACGACCAAGTAGCTCAATCGGTAGAGCATCTGTCTAGAGTTCGAAGGGTCCCGGGTTCGAACCCCAGTGTGGACGTTATAATTTCTCTTTTTCCTTATACCCATGGAAGGTGGTATAAGGTCTGGTATGTCTTCGGGGTCGAAGACTTTGTTGAAGGAGGGGGGAATGTAGCGGAACTGGACTGGGTCGATCGTCGGCGACCAGGTACCTCAATTGGTTAAAGCGTCCGTCTAGAGTTCGGAAGATTCCGGGTTCGAACCCCGGTCTGGGAGTTGCATTTCTCTTTCTCCTGTTACACATCTAATAAACATGAGTGAAAAAGATCCATCACATAAAAATGGCAAGGAAAACTCTAATATAAAATTACTTAACAGGAGAAAGTTACTTTTGAGAGGTTAGAAAGAAAATCATCATCTTTCTAATTTGCGAACTTTCTGTAAACGGAATTGATACGTTTTTGACGGTCAAACGTGTAACACAATGACAGCTTCAAATGATATACATACAAGCCAAGCCAAGTACTTACTATCATATTGTTGTACTATAAGAATTTATTGAAATATCAATTTCAGCCCGGACAGGTCCATGATACCGGGGCAAGTTCGGCCCATGCAACAGGTCCCTTCAGGTAGGGCGTAAGCATTGTACCTGCTGCCCCCGTTGCAAGATGGTAAGAGGCGACTAAATTTGTGATCTTATCTTTTCTCTACTTTCTAAACAATTTTCTTCTTTCTAATGTCTCCCTTGACAATGCCTCACCTTTTCCCTTTAGTTGATCGGTTCTGTCCCCTGGCCGAGACATACCGGAGTCTGAAAAAAATGGTAGTTTCTGCTTTTGCTTAACGCTCAGCAATTTATAAGTGGGACGACTGGTTGGCCGTTGTCAGTATAATGTGACCGGATGGAGTGTCCTGCTGGGTGCCTTCGACAGAATGTTTCAGTGAGGTAGAACTATAAAGTCGGCATCAGTTCCGCGCTATCACAAGGAGACAAACACGAAGATATCGCATCCTCCCAAAAACACACACGCATGTATTCACTATACGCATGCATCTTGTACACAGGGGAGGCCGTCCGTAAATGACCATAGCTGTTGATAGGACGTTAAACAATACTAAACCAAACCAGGCCCATGCCACACATAAAAAGTCGTAAAATTGGCGGGAACATCTGACGGTGCATGCTTTTAAATTGGTTCCAAACGGGTGTCTAACTTACCCGAATGCCTGTCCGAGCTTACCCCATGACGGGGCTTGTTCGGCCATCCAAACTTCCGACAGGAAAAAGTTAAATAATTCTTCAAAAAACGGACATATTTCCCAGAACGGAGTTAAATAAAAATGGGCCGAACTTGCCCCGGTCTCCCCTAGTTGTTGCGTCGGTCTTAAAATCTCATGAAGCTAGTGTTCTAAGTTATCTCATTCTGAATCAGTGAATATCAGAGATCAACAAAAGCAACGTTCTTTTAGGGTTAGCCTTTTCATATTACGATAGAAAGTTTGAAACGTCACAGCTATACATGCTACACGTACACGTACACACGGAGGGTCATTTATGTTATCATAAAATATAGTTGTACGTGTACGGTATCTCACACATACCCGAAAGGTGGATAAGCCTCTGTAATTACAGTTGGAAGCGACTTATTGTCATGTAATACTCATACAACGAAATCGCAAGTAATCGACGGTATATATCATAACAAGCAAGTAACCATACAGTAGTCGTTGTTTAAGAGCCACGGTCGTTCAAACTTCAGACATTAACTAAACAGGAATTTGCTTTGATTGTCTCCTCATACGCTCTTTATTTATCATCATCTCTGAATTCATTCAAAAATTATCAAATATATTATTAGAATTGTAGAAATTAGATCGACTCGGATGTCAGCGCTTGTGATTAATAGATTAAGAAGTGTTATCAATATATATGACATTTTATCGGGTTCAAAAGTTGTAAAAATAACTGCTGTATCTGTTTTGACTAATCATACAACATGGATAATGATTAAAATAATCCAAATTTATCTCGACTGGAGCAGTGGAGGTGTCCAACAACGTGATTTATTTAGCTCTCGCTTCGATTCGGTGATCGCTATTTCCGGAACCTACACAGTGCCGTTCGACCAGTGATTATGGGGTATCCAATATATTTGGAAACCATATACATCCACCCACCTTTTAGATTTTTTTAATTACATGCAACTTAAAACCTGAACTTAACTAATTTCTGATTACTATACACTGTATCTATGTATACAACAGTACAACTTCTGTGTATAGCTCACTAATAGCTGCGATATTTTAATAATACTGATTGATGGTTGTAATGCATGTAAATTGGATGCTTTATTGTACGAGCCTGAACTACTTTGCCTTTTATGAATTAACTCATTATAAGTTGATAAGGAAGAGTTTTTATTGAATGTTGCTAAAGTATATAGGTTTCAGGTTAAAATAGGGTCGGCGTTTAAACTATTGCAAAACATTACAATCACGTCCCCACTGGTAATTAGGGAACGGGTCCTTGTGACGAACATCAGCACCCCGGGAAACTGCTCGACCACCAGCGCTAGCGAGGTACACACGTGTATGTGTATGTGTATACCAGAAGTTGATATGTCTATACATAGTGCTATCTAAGTCCGTGATATTGTATTACAAATGAAATTATTTCCACAAAAGGGTGTAGATCTAGTACACAAAAATAGGCGACGACCCGGAAATGTGTGATTCTAGCGTTACACTGTGATCTAACTCCCGCCGACAGATGTCGCCCGCTGACCAGGAAGTTTTCCACAACATTGCCAAACTTTTCCGGAGAACTTTATAATGTGGCCTGGGGAACGATGTTAAGTGAAGGTAAGACTTATCAAAGACCTAAATTATATGTATATGTTATCTATTTGTTTATGTATAAATAGTATAGTGCTATATCCCATACGGACAGGACATTCACACCGTATAGGTAAACTTTTGACAGTTTCTCAGGGAGTATAGGTGCATCGTCTTTCACCTGGTTGTACATAAATAATGCTGCTACGTACGTATACCTGTCTTTTAATCCATGTCAACAACACCTTACGTGTACACTCGATGTTGATCATGCGTACGGTTCTAGATCTAGACCGTACAGAAACTCCGGGACAACATTATAATTATTACTTATCACGGAATTATATTGCTATCTAATATATAAGTCAGTGCTATTAATTAGCCACGCAATATATAAAACCTGTCTCGTCGTCAGAAGCTACGTTATCGCAGCTAGGGCTAGCACTACATGTAAGATTTTGTATACAATTCTAAAAAGAGATACTTACACATGTATCCAATATTGATATATAGTCTTAACTTGTTACATCAGTATTCCATTGAAACAGTTTTGTGCCATCAGTATCCCATTGATATATAGTCTTGTGACATCAGTATCCCATTGATATATAGTTTTTTGACATCAGTATCTCAGTGATACATAATCTTGTGACATCAGTATCCCAGTGATAAATCAGTATCCCAGTGATACATCAGTATCCCATTGATACATCAGTATCCCAGTGATACATCAGTATCCCATTGATACTTAGTCTTGTGACATCAGTATCCCATTACATAATCTTGTGACATCAGTATCCCATTGATATATAGTCTTGTGACATCAGTATCCCAGTGATACATAATTTTGTGACATCAGTATCCCAGTGATACATAGTCTTGTGACATCAGTATCCAAGTGATACATAGTCTTGTTACATCAGTATCCCAGGGATACTTAGTCTTGTTACATCAGTATCCCAGTGATAAATCAGTATCCCAGTGATACATAATTTTGCGACATCAGTATCCCATTGATACTAAGTCTTGTGACATCAGTAGCCCAGTGATACATAATTTTGCGACATCAGTATCCCAGCGATACATCAGTATCCCAGCGATACATCAGTATCCCAGCGATACATCAGTATCCCATTACATAATCATGTGACATCAGTATCCCAGTGATACATAGTCTTGTGACATCAGTATCTCAGTGATACATAATCTTTTGACATCAGTATCCCAGTGATACTTAGTCTTGTGACATCCGTATCCGATACATCAGTATCCCATTACATAATCATGCCAAGTGATACATAGTCTTGTGACATCAGTATCCCATTGATACTTAGTCTTGTGACATCGGTATCCCATTACATAATCTTGTGACATCAGTATCCCAGTGATAGATCAGTATCACAGTGATACATCAGTATCCCAGTGATACATCAGTATCCCAGTGATACACCAGTATCCCATTGATACTTAGTCTTGTGACATCAGTATCCCATTACATAATCTTGTGACATCAGTATCCCATTGATACATAGTCTTGTGACATCAGTATCCCAGTGATACACAGTCTTGTGACATCAGTATCCCAGTGAATCTTAGGACATCAGTATCTCAGTGATACATAATCTTGTGATATCAGTATCCCAGTGATACATAGTCTTGTGACATCAGTATCCCAGTGAATCTTATGACATCAGTATCTCAGTGATACATAATCTTGTGACATCAGTATCCCAGTGATACATAGTCTTGTGACATCAGTATCCCAGTGATACATCAGTATCCCAGTGATACATCAGTATCCCATTGATACATAGTCTTGTGACATCATTATCCCATTGATACTAAGTCTTGTGACATCAGTATTCCAGTGATACATAGTCTTGTGACATCAGTATCCCAGTGATACATAGTCTTGTGACATCATTATCCCATTGATGTCACAAGACTATGTATCAATGGGATACTGATGTATCCCAGTGATACATCAGTATCCCAGTGATACATCAGTATCCCATTAATACTTAGTATTATGACATCAGTATCCCATTACATAATCTTGTGACATCAGTATCCCATTGATATATAGGTTTGTGACATCAGTATCCCATTGATACTTAGCATTATGACATCAGTATCCCATTGATACATAATCTTGTGACATTAGTATCCCATTGATACATAGTCTTATGACATCAGTATCTCAGTGATACATAGTCTTTTGACATCAGTATCCCATTGATACTTAGTCTTATGACATCAGTATCCCAGTGATACATAGTCTTGAGACATCAGTATCCCAGTGATACATCAGTATCCCAGTGATACATCAGTATCCCATTGATACTTAGTATTATGACATCAGTACCCCATTACATAATCTTGTGACATCAGTATCCCATTGATATATAGGTTTGTGACATCAGTATCTCAGTGATACATAGTCTTGTGACCTCAGTATCCCAGTGATACATAGTCTTGTGACATCAGTATCTCAGTGATACATAGCCTTGTGACATCAGTATCCCAGTGATACATAGTCTTGAGACATCAGGATCCCAGTGATACATCAGTATCCCAGTGATACATAAGTATCCCATTGATACTTAGTATTATGACATCAGTTCCCCATTACATAATCTTGTGACATCAGTTTCCCATTGATATATAGGTTTGTGACATCAGTATCCAATTGATACTTAGCATTATGACATCAGTATCCAAGTGATACATAGTCTTGTGAACTTAGTATCCCAGTGATACATTGTCTTGTGACATCAGTATCCCAGTGATGCATCAGTATCCCAGTGATACATCAGTATCCCAGTGATACATCAGTATCCCAGTGATACATCAGTATCGTATCCCATTGATATATAGTCTTGTGACATCAGTATCTCAGTGATACATAGTCTTTTGACATCAGTATCCCATTGATACTTAGTCTTATGACATCAGTATCCCAGTGATACATAGTCTTGAGACATGAGTATCCCAGTGATACATCAGTATCCCAGTGATACATCAGTATCCAAGTGATACATCAGTATCCCATTGATACTTAGTATTATGACATCAGTTCCCCATTACATAATCTTGTGACATCAGTTTCCCATTGATATATAGGTTTGTGACATCAGTATCTCAGTGATACATAGTCTTTTGACATCAGTATCCCATTGATACTTAGTCTTATGACATCAGTATCCCAGTGATACATAGCCAGTGATACATAGTCTTGTGACATTAGTATCCCAGTGATACATTATCTTTTGACATCCATATCCCATTGATACATAGTCTTGTGACATCAGTATTCCAGTGATACATAGTCTTGTGACATTAGTATCCCAGTGATACATAATCTTTTGACATCAGTATTCCAGTGATACATAGTCTTGTGACATCAGTATCTCAGTGATACATAGTCTTTTGACATCAGTATCCCATTGATACTTAATCTTGTGACATCAGTATCCCATTGATATACAGTCTTGTGACATCAGTATCCCATTGATACATAATCTTGTGACATCAGTATCCCAGTGATACATAGTCTTGTGACATCAGTATTCCAGTGATACATAGTCTTGTGACATTAGTATCCCAGTGATACATAATCTTTTGACATCCATATCCCATTGATACATAGTCTTGTGACATCAGTATTCCATTGATACATAGCCTTGTGACATCAGTATCCCAGTGATACATAATCTTTTGACATCAATATTCCAGTGATATATAGTCTTGTGACATCAGTATCCCAATCCCAGTGATATATAGGTTTGTGACATCAATATCCCATTGATATATAGGTTTGTGACATCAGTATCCCATTGATACATACAGTCTTATGATATCAGTATCCCATCGATCCCATGTGACATTAATATTCCATTGATTGTTGGTCATGTGACATTAATATTCCATTGATTGTTGGTCATGTGATGTCAATATTCCATTGATGCTGCATTTTATTGATCCTATGGTCATGTAACAATAGTGTTATTTGATTCATTATTTTTGTGTTGCTTCAATATTACTGTATGGTTATAAGTTATTTAAAAATCTGAAGTATTATATTGATGGCACTTCCTGCAATGATGGAAATGTATCCTATTGATACAAAGTCTTGTGACATCAGTATCCCATTGATATATAGGTTTGTGACATCAGTATCTCAGTGATACATAGTCTTTTGACATCAGTATCCCATTGATACTTAATCTTGTGACATCAGTATCCCATTGATATATAGGTTTGTGACATCAGTATCCCAGTGATACATAATCTTATGATATCAGTATCCCATTGATACTTAGTCTAATGACATCAGTATCCCAGTGATACTTAGTCTAATGACATCAGTATCCCAGAGATACTTAGTCTTATGACATCAGTATCCCAGTGATACATAGGCTTGTGACATCAGTATCCTATTGATACTTAGTCTAATGACATCAGTATCCCATTGATACTTAGTCTAATGACATTAGTATCCCAGTGATACTTAGTCTAATGACATCAGTATCTCATTGATACTTATTCTAATGACATCAGTATCCCAGTGATACATTGTCTTGTGGCATCAGTATCCCAGTGATACTTATTCTAATGAAATCAGTATCCCAGTGATACATTGTCTTGTGACATAAGTATACCAGTGATACATCAGTATCCCAGTGATACATCAGTATCCCAGTGATACTTAGTCTAATGACATCAGTATCAAATTGATACATAGTCTTGTGACATCAGTATCCCAGTGATACATAGTCTTGTGACATCAGTATCCCAGTGATACTTATTCTAATGACATCAGTATCCCAGTGATACATTGTCTTGTGACATCAGTAACCCAGTGATACATCAGTATCCCAGTGATACAACAGAATCCCAGTGATACTTAGTCTAATGACATCAGTATCAAAGTGATACATAGTCTTGTGACATCAGTATCCCATTGATACATAGCCTTGTGACATCAGTATCCCAGTGATACATAATCTTTTGACATCAGTATCCCAGTGATATATAGTCTTGTGACATCAGTATCCCAATCCCAGTGATATATAGGTTTGTGACATCAATATCCCATTGATATATAGGTTTGTGACATCAGTATCCCATTGATACATACAGTCTTATGATATCAGTATCCCATCGATCCCATGTGACATTAATATTCCATTGATTGTTGGTCATGTGACATTAATATTCCATTGATTGTTGGTCATGTGATGTCAATATTCCATTGATGCTGCATTTTATTGATCCTATGGTCATGTAACAATAGTGTTATTTGATTCATTATTTTTGTGTTGCTTCAATATTACGGTATGGTTATAAGTTATTTAAAAATCTGAAGTATTATATTGATGGCACTTCCTGCAATGATGGAAATGTAAACAATTTAGCTGTGTAGTCGGATAAAAACTTTTTATGGTGACATTATGTAGTTACTTAACAAAATATACATATCAAAATATACATATCAATGGGGAAAAACATGAACAGATGATAATTTCCAATTACACATTTTAGTTGTATTAAATGTTACATGAAAAAGCTACAGCAGATATTCCGATCGTGCTTGTTATTTACACTGATAGGTGAAGCCAGAACCTCTTTGTCCCTCTACAGTATGTACCAGGAAGTAACGAAAGGCAAAGCTAGGTCAAGGTCAGACAACTTTAGTGAGGGCCTGTACAATATTTATACTCTAGTCTGAGTTATAGATATGGCATAAAGCTTTGTTGAGATTTTGGACTGAACAGTAAATGTTAATACATGTGTATGAAGTCCTAAATATAGACTTTATAAATTGGTATGAAGTATGAAATATTTTGTTTTATTTATACATGTGACATTACTTGGAATTAAATATCTTGTTTAAATTTACAGCAAACTTGAAGTAAAGGGAAAAAACCCGACAGAAGTTGGTGAACTATTTCACGGAAAGTCAACATCGAAACAAGGGATTCAGCTTTGTTCTGTGGAATGTAAAATCGAAACAAGGGATCTGACTTTGTACTGTGGAAGAAAACATCAAAACAAGGGGTTCAGCTTTGTTGGTCAAAGATTATATCAAAATAAGGGAATCCTTTTCAAACATCAAAACATGTGACATTTTGGTTTTATGGAATGTGTTGTGTAAATAATGGCTTACTTATTCTTGAACAATAATCAAGTTGTGAGATTATTATGCTGCGAGTGATTGATTCTACTGTACCACAAGGCTTCCTGTCTTTTCCCTGACAAGCGGAAGGATAACACCACAATCATGATGGGGTGTTGTTGGCTTAGGACAGGTTTGGTGGTTTTCATTTTGTACATTGATTTAGTCTGCAGCGTGAAGAAATTCATACCTCAAACATCAAAAAATTCAGAGTTAAGGAAGATAGCTGTCGACAGTACAGGTAGGAACATATATGTTGGGGGTAAAAACTTCATCTATCACCTGAACGAGGACTTAACACAGGTAGGAGTGGTGGAAACAGGCCCACATAGAGATTCTAAGGAATGTACAAAAGCGGATGTGGATAGTGAGGAAAGTGGATGTAACGTTAAGCTGTATGACGACTACACACAGCTGTTACAGGTGTATGAACCAGGCGGCATTCTTGTAACGTGTGGTACCCTGTATCTTGGAAGATGTGTTGGTAGAGATTTACAGAATATTTCTATCGTAAACGTAACAAGCACTTACTATCTTGCTGTTAGTGCAGATGAGACAGGTTCTACAGAGAGTGTAATAGCACAGGTTGGTACGGAATCACTTATCTTTGTGGGGAAATCGTATGTTAAAACGACAGAAAATCTAGAAACACTCTACCCACAAGTGAAAGATATCATTTATGGAGGACGGCTACAAGAAAACAAATTTCTGGGACCATATGAAACTATCTCAGGTGTAAAACCTACATTTAGTATCAAAACTGTGAACAAGCATGCAGATCAAAAGTATGATTTTGTTATGAAAAGCATGTTTTATATGTCAGACTCCATATATTCTCTTGTAAGAATAATGGACCTTACAACACGTAGAACTGTGTCCAAACTTTCCAAAATGTGTGCAATGGCCATCAGCAAACCTGGTGCCAACAGCTATGAAGACATGCCAATTGAATGCTCTGAGTTTCCATATGTCCAGGATGGGTTTGTTGTTCAGCATGGAAGTGGAGAGGTGCTAGTTGCACTTTTCTCATCAACCTTGGATGTCACTGAAACCACACGCTGTGCTGTGTGTGTGTTTACAGAAGATGAACTTCTGGAGGGATTCAGAAGGTCTCGTATGAATTACTCATCCTGTGGCATTCCAGGGAGTTATCCAGTAGACTATTTGAAGATAGAAGAAAACAGAGATTGCAAGAATACATGCTCATTGGCGGTAAGACAAGTGTATAGGCAGACTGGGGCCTATAGAGGTAACATACCAGAATATTGTTGGACCAAAAATCCAGACTGTTCCTTGAGAATAAACATTGCCAACAGTCTGGGGCTCAGGTTCCAAAACGATTCTGTGTGATTATTTTAAAACCATTTATCTTGGATAATTATTAATTATGTCTATCCTATCAATGTGATTAATATCCTTTAATCTCAGTTTTTCCACTTGTTTGCATCACTGAATACTGGCTGTTAAAAGTTTTCTTTGGAGCATCATAAATTAGGAGATGTTAATGATTTTAATTTACAAATGAATTGTCTGAAGTATGCATAGTGCCATTGGGTATGGACTTGTGTAGAAATACCTCTCATTGTGTGATAAGGGTATATCCTTGACCATACGTCAAAGTCAAGGTCACAAGTAGAGGTCGAATTCAACATCACTTTTTTTCTTGTCTTGAGTGTTATTTCTCCATGAGTCACATATTTACTGAAGATGCTTGATGAACTTTATTAACATATATTTCTAATTAATTCACCATGAACTTCCAGACCCTTATGCTGTGGACATACCATAATTGAGCATTGTTAATCTGAAAAGAATTACATTGACTTACTGTCAAGGTCATACATTTAGGCCAATGTGGGAAAAATTGTTAATGATTTTAAGCTTGCAATGATCAACTGCGGCCCAATAGACAGCATCTGTTGTATGTCCCTGTATCGTAAACAACTGAAGGGGTTTTGAACAATTTTGGTGAGGATCATGGCTGATCAGAGGGAATACTCCCTCAAGGATAAAATATCTCTTGGTCAAGAGATCTAAATGTTGTGAGTGCATATGTACCTGAATTTCACAAATTCAGGCAGAGTAACAGTGCCCTTGAACAGAAGTAATAGATCTAGAGGTAACAAGATGTAAACTGACCTTATATAATGTTGTTCTTCACATGTATATAGGCCGGGTAGCATGGTATAACTACAACTCTTATCTGTCTGCACTAGAGAAGCTAACATGTATATAGGCGGGGTAGCATGGTATAACTACAACTCTTATCTGTCTGCACTAGAGAAGCTAACATGTATATAGGCCGGGTAGCATGGTATAACTACAACTCTTATCTGTCTGCACTAGAGAAGCTAACATGTATATAGGCCGGGTAGCATGGTATAACTACAACTCTTATCTGTCTGCACTAGAGAAGCTAACATGTATATAGGCCGGGTAGCATGGTATAACTACAACTCTTATCTGTCTGCACTAGAGAAGCTAACATGTATATAGGCCGGGTAGCATGGTATAACTACAACTCTTATCTGTCTGCACTAGAGAAGCTAACATGTATATAGGCCGGGTAGCATGGTATAACTACAACTCTTATCTGTCTGCACTAGAGAAGCTAACATGTATATAGGCCGGGTAGCATGGTATAACTACAACTCTTATCTGTCTGCACTAGAGAAGCTAACATGTATATAGGCCGGGTAGCATGGTATAACTACAACTCTTATCTGTCTGCACTAGAGAAGCTAACATGTATATAGGCCGGGTAGCATGGTATAACTACAACTCTTATCTGTCTGCACTAGAGAAGCTAACATGTATATAGGCCGGGTAGCATGGTATAACTACAACTCTTATCTGTCTGCACTAGAGAAGCTAACATGTATATAGGCCGGGTAGCATGGTATAACTACAACTCTTATCTGTCTGCACTAGAGAAGCTAACATGTATATAGGCCGGGTAGCATGGTATAACTACAACTCTTATCTGTCTGCACTAGAGAAGCTAACATGTATATAGGCCGGGTAGCATGGTATAACTACAACTCTTATCTGTCTGCACTAGAGAAGCTAACATGTATATAGGCCGGGTAGCATGGTATAACTACAACTCTTATCTGTCTGCACTAGAGAAGCTAACATGTATATAGGCCGGGTAGCATGGTATAACTACAACTCTTATCTGTCTGCACTAGAGAAGCTAACATGTATATAGGCCGGGTAGCATGGTATAACTACAACTCTTATCTGTCTGCACTAGAGAAGCTAACATGTATATAGGCCGGGTAGCATGGTATAACTACAACTCTTATCTGTCTGCACTAGAGAAGCTAACATGTATATAGGCCGGGTAGCATGGTATAACTACAACTCTTATCTGTCTGCACTAGAGAAGCTAACATGTATATAGGCCGGGTAGCATGGTATAACTACAACTCTTATCTGTCTGCACTAGAGAAGCTAACATGTATATAGGCCGGGTAGCATGGTATAACTACAACTCTTATCTGTCTGCACTAGAGAAGCTAACATGTATATAGGCCGGGTAGCATGGTATAACTACAACTCTTATCTGTCTGCACTAGAGAAGCTAACATGTATATAGGCCGGGTAGCATGGTATAACTACAACTCTTATCTGTCTGCACTAGAGAAGCTAACATGTATATAGGCCGGGTAGCATGGTATAACTACAACTCTTATCTGTCTGCACTAGAGAAGCTAACATGTATATAGGCCGGGTAGCATGGTATAACTACAACTCTTATCTGTCTGCACTAGAGAAGCTAACATGTATATAGGCCGGGTAGCATGGTATAACTACAACTCTTATCTGTCTGCACTAGAGAAGCTAACATGTATATAGGCCGGGTAGCATGGTATAACTACAACTCTTATCTGTCTGCACTAGAGAAGCTAACATGTATATAGGCCGGGTAGCATGGTATAACTACAACTCTTATCTGTCTGCACTAGAGAAGCTAACATGTATATAGGCCGGGTAGCATGGTATAACTACAACTCTTATCTGTCTGCACTAGAGAAGCTAACATGTATATAGGCCGGGTAGCATGGTATAACTACAACTCTTATCTGTCTGCACTAGAGAAGCTAACATGTATATAGGCCGGGTAGCATGGTATAACTACAACTCTTATCTGTCTGCACTAGAGAAGCTAACATGTATATAGGCCGGGTAGCATGGTATAACTACAACTCTTATCTGTCTGCACTAGAGAAGCTAACATGTATATAGGCCGGGTAGCATGGTATAACTACAACTCTTATCTGTCTGCACTAGAGAAGCTAACATGTATATAGGCCGGGTAGCATGGTATAACTACAACTCTTATCTGTCTGCACTAGAGAAGCTAACATGTATATAGGCCGGGTAGCATGGTATAACTACAACTCTTATCTGTCTGCACTAGAGAAGCTAACATGTATATAGGCCGGGTAGCATGGTATAACTACAACTCTTATCTGTCTGCACTAGAGAAGCTAACATGTATATAGGCCGGGTAGCATGGTATAACTACAACTCTTATCTGTCTGCACTAGAGAAGCTAACATGTATATAGGCCGGGTAGCATGGTATAACTACAACTCTTATCTGTCTGCACTAGAGAAGCTAACATGTATATAGGCGGGGTAGCATGGTATAACTACAACTCTTATCTGTCTGCACTAGAGAAGCTAACAGATTCATAAACACTTGAGGTTTAACATTCCTCTTTAATTTGGCAAGATTTTTTGACTTTCTAGTAGCTAGTGGATGGTAAATAATTTCACAAAATGGCTGCTACATGAACCTATTAATAATGTGCAATAAGTTAACTTAATTAACACTAATTAGTACTTTATGTACATCTACATTTCAGATTGAATTGTGTAAAGAAATGAATACTACTACCTACTGTAATGGACTACTATCATTATCCAGTCTGATTGGAGTGATTCCTCTAACAGCATCACCAGTGTACAGTGGGACAGGACTGACCAGTCTGGGAGGAAGTTTCAGAAACAATCTTACAGCCATCTTGGTAGGGACACAGAACGGCACCCTCCACAAGGTAAACATTTACATAATCACTTTACTGGGGGGCGATAAACCCAATATGACAGTAAGGCAGGATTGACATAAAAAAAACCCAGATTTTGTAGATGTATAGTTCACCAACATTGTCTGCAACAAATATATATGGGAAATGAAATGACGGACATTATAATGAGGTTTTACTGTACATGTGTTTCTACTAATATTTTCTATCTTAAGTAAGATATATAACCAATAGGAAAGCTATGCTGTTCTCCAATAGCTCTTGCTTGTCTAGAGATGATTATATTTTAAGTTCAAATAGCATCAGAAGAGGTATTTCAAACTCAAACTTTAGTTTTTGTTTATGTTAAGAAAAACAATTTGAACCTAAAAAAAAAATTAAAAAAAAAAACATGGCATGTGCAAGACCTATGTTTTTTTGTTTCGGACTGTAGGAATGACTTTAGATTATAAAAAAACTTGTATTCATACAAATTCCAAACGTCATCATAAAATGTTGAAATATTAACAAAGAAATGCTCATTTGAAGTGCAAGATGTTGCAAAATTCAAGCCATGATCCGTTTTGGGTACTGACATTTGGGAAAGTCCCCAGCCACACTGTCACAGTATCGGCCAGGGACACCCTGATAAAGTCGGTAAAGCCCCAGCCACACTGTCACAGTATCGGCTAGGGACACCCTGATAAAGTCAGTACAGCCCCAGCCACACTGTCACAGTATCGGCCAGGGACACCCTGATAAAGTCAGTACAGCCCTAGCCACACTGTCACAGTATCGGCAAGGGTCACCCTGATAAAGTCGGTAAAGCCCCAGCCACACTGTCACAGTATCGGCCAGGGACACCCTGATAAAGTCAGTACAGCCCCAGCCACACTGTCACAGTATCGGCCAGGGACACCCTGAGGTCCCCAGTTCTATATACAGTGGCAAACTGTGCCTATCTCTCCAATTTTGGCCCGAAAATGGTAATCAACAGTGTTGTTAGCTTGCACGACCATTCTACGCGGTTTTAGTACCGTCTGTGATACTACTGTGAAACAACAATTTTCAAAATACATTTGCTTGGCTGCGGACGACCCGAAGGTTTTAAACAGTTTAAAACAATCGTAGCGAGCCATGGACCACCCAGGATCAACACATACTACTCTTGCATCAATACAGACATGCTATATATGGATACCAAGGGTTGTCCCCTGTTTGCACCACCGTAGCTCACCAGGGCTATAATTACCAGCACAATGTGACACAGGCTTAAGGTTAATTAGTGACGTCAGAGTGTTCTATAAATATCTTACAAGAGAACCAGGGGTGTTTATTTTATTGGTAAGAACACTCATCAATATTCTTCGTTTGATACAACCATAAAGTAATATACAGTTGTGGGATCGCACAACGTTACACCATGTGCAGTGCGCACAGTGTGTGAACGATGTGTGCACGATGTGCGAGCGATAAAAAGTTGGACGATCATTGCTTGCGCACATTTGTGTGCAAGATGGACGAAAGTTGTGCAATAACAATCGTGGTTGGTGTAAATTGAGGAATGTCTTAACAATATACACGGTTTCGTGTTAAACATATAAACTTGACTTTTATGTATGTTTCTATATTCTACCTACATCTATAAGCTTATCTTAAGGTCTACACTTTCTTAAAATTAGAAATTTTCGGTGTTTTTTAAACGACCTTAATCGATCGACACATGTGAAATTACAACACAGTCCCGTATACATTGTTCAGGTAAACATAGCCGCTTTGTACATTTACCTGGAATGTAGTTTTCCCCCGCCCGGGGTGCTTACGTACTTCGTCGGGTAGGGCCGGGGGTGTGAAAACCCAGGTTAAGGGGAGCTGTAGGCAAACCGAATGCAAATAACAAATACTACACATCCAGTTGTGTTTTCATTACGGTCATACGGTATCACATATCAGCTATATGTGTCAGGCACAGGCAAGGTAAAACTCCGGTCACTCATCAAATTGTTATTTACCTGTTCTGTTACCTTGGAGCCAAACCCATTCAACGGTCACTGGAATGCTGTTCTACATGCATTGTAAAACTGTACATAATCTTCATAACTGTGATGAGAAATTACAGTAATACATACAGTTTTCATTATTGCATACAAGTTTTCCGATTTTTTTTCATTTTCGTAATATTGATCTGCAAATTGTACCTAATCGCACAGTTGTGCAGAGAGAAGCGCACAATGGGACGAACGATTGTTAAATTGCACAGTTGTGAGCACCATGTGTGGACGATGTGCGGACGGTGTTTGAACGGAGTAATGCACGGTGTGTGCACACTATTTTTGGTTCGTTGTGCGGTCAAGTAACTGTAATTCTTCCGCTGAATTTTCAATGAATGATTTTTGTTTTGAGTACTGTCACCTTACACTCAATATTATGCACCTCCTAGCGTCAGCTTACTTCCAAAGCATAACAGTGCAATAGAAGTTATTCCCCTTTGTACGGTCAAAGCTAAAAATTGCCGATTTATGACTTCACCTGGTATATATATATGGAGGGAAAACATTTTCGAATGTGTGAGATTTAGGGCTCACGTGGCATGAGACATGTTTCAGCGTGAGTTAGGACGTGTCGGCATGGGATTTTGTCTCACACAGTGAGAGTTGGCAACCCTGTGTAATTATAAACATAAATACTAGTATAATGACTAGGGGTTCTTAACTGGTGCGTACTAACAAACTTGTTACTTTTTTTCATAATTTATAACTTTCTCTTTTCCTGTTTTCTCAACAGTTGTTTCTAAAGTCAGAAACTGCAGCACGTTTGGTAAAAACATCAGCCAATTACCTGGATCCCCCAGTTCAGCCAATTATAGACATCGTGACAACAGAACTCAACAGAACCTACCTCCTCGGCAGACACAGTGTAAGTCTAATATATAACACAGTACCTACCTCCTCGGGAGATACAGTGTAAGTCTAATGTATAACACACTACATACCTCCTCTGTAGATACAGGGTAAGTCTAATATATAACACACTACCTACCTCCTCTGTAGATACAGTGTAAGTTTAATATATAACACAGTACCTACCTCCTCGGCAGATACAGTGTAAGTTTAATATATAACACAGTACCTACCTCCTCGGCAGACACAGTGTAAGTCTAATATATAACACAGTACCTACCTCCTCGGCAGACACAGTGTAAGTCTAATATATAACACAGTACCTACCTCCTCGGGAGATACAGTGTAAGTCTAATGTATAACACACTACATACCTCCTCTGTAGATACAGTGTAAGTCTAATATATAACACACTACCTACCTCCTCTGTAGATACAGTATAAGTTTAATATATAACACAGTACCTACCTTCTCGGCAGATACAGTGTAAGTTTAATATATAACACAGTACCTACCTCCTCTGTAGATACAGTGTAAGATTAATATATAACACACTACCTACCTCCTCTGTAGATACAGTGTAAGTCTAATATATAACACACTACCAACCTCCTCTGCAGATACAGTGTAAGTCTAATATATAACACACTACCAACCTCCTCGGCAGATACAGTGTAAGTCTAATATATAACACACTACCTACCTTCTCAGCAGATACAGTGTAAGTCTAATATATAACACACTACCTACCTTCTCAGCAGATACAGTGTAAGTCTAATATATAACACACTACCTACCTTCTCAGCAGATACAGTGTAAGTCTAATATATAACACACTACCTACCTTCTCAGCAGATACAGTGTAAGTCTAATATATAACACACTACCTACCTTCTCAGCAGATACAGTGTAAGTCTAATATATAACACACTACCTACCTTCTCAGCAGATACAGTGTAAGTCTAATATATAACACACTACCTACCTTCTCAGCAGATACAGTGTAAGTCTAATATATAACACACTACCTACCTTCTCAGCAGATACAGTGTAAGTCTAATATATAACACACTACCTACCTTCTCAGCAGATACAGTGTAAGTCTAATATGTAACACACTACCTACCTTCTCAGCAAATACAGTGTAAGTCTTATATATAACACACTACCTACCTCCTAACAAATACAGTGTAAGTCTAATATATAACACACTACCTACCTCTGCAAGCTTTTAGACAAGTTTAGATTGTTTACATTCTGTAACAGGTTATTAAAAGTTTGATTAAAAAAAAATATCAGATGGCCATGTTGGGCTCATATCTCTTGCGATGATTTTCTCAAGAATTAAAATTTTGTGGTGAACTTTGTTGTGTCTGTTGACAAAATATTATACTGGAATAGACCCTGTATGTTCAATTACTTTTTATCACAAACATTACATGGCACAAATATGTCTACATTTGCCTCCAGCTCTTTAGACATACATTTAGTGAGTGGTTGCCACAAATATACTGTAAATATATATAACAAGGTCTCACACCAACAATTACAGGCCTATCTCTGTTTTACCTATTGTAAGTAAGATACTGGAGTGACCTGTGCATGATTCTCTCTATATGTATCTCTCTGATAATAGCCTGTTGATTGACTGCAGTTAATTAATTTGGGTTTCGTCCAAATCACTCTACTGAGTCAGCACTTGTCAGCTTAGTTGAAAAGTAGTTTAAGAAAATGGATGAAGGTAAACTTACAGGTGTCCTGTTCCTTGATCTAAGCAAGGCAATCGACACGGTATATCACCATGTGCTTCTTAACAAACTCAAATGTTATGGAATGTCAGATATGTGTCTTAGATTCCTTTCTTCATACCTTAAGGATAGACACCAATGTGTAAATTTTAAAGGTAAATTGTCCAAATTTTGCACCAATGACAATTGGTGTTCCTCAAGGATCCATCCTTGGACCCTTGTTTTTTTTATACTTTATCTAAATGACTACAGTAAACTTGTCCATCATTGTTCTGTCAATATGTACGCTGACGATACCTGACAGGATGTAGTAGGGACTACTGTAAACAATATTGGACTTAGTCTGTCAGAAGATCTTAAGCATACAGTCAAGTAGATGGATCAGAACAAACTAAGTTAGAACCTGAATAAGACCCAATGCATGTTTATTGGTTCATCCTAAAAGCTAGCAACGGTAAGAAAACTTAAAACTCGAGATCAGTGGTCATGTCATTGAAACTGTACATAGTGCCAAACTCCATGTTGTTACTATTGGTGAATGTTTGAGCTGATAGAACCATACAGAATATGATTTTTTTTCTTTTTTTGTATGCAAGAAAATAGCCAAGAAGATTGGTGTTTTTTCAACTTGTAAGACAATTTATGTCCCTTTTTTAATGGCAAAAAAGTGTACAATAGCATTGTTTTAGCACACTTTTTATACTGTTTAGTGATATGATGTGCTCCATCTAATATGGAATAAATTGGCAGCAAGAGTAGTAATTACTAAAGTTATAGGTTTTTTTTACTCCAACCTCCGTAGTTTCACATCTTTTAAGGTGGCTCCCATTGCAGAAATTTTATGATTTTAGGAAATGCTTATTTTTGTATAAGGTTTTACATGACCAAGCTCTACCTGTTCTTAATCAATATTTTACCTATGTTAACCAGGTTTCTACCAGAACTACACATTCTTTTAACAGCAAAAAAGATTATGTGAAACAATGTAGAACAATTAATTATAAGAGATGTTTTAGTTACTCTGTGAGCATTTTATGGAATAATTTAGAAAGCTCACTGCATATTTTACCTAGTATAGAGTCTTTTAAGAAGGCATACCTGTACAAGCGTTTATAGATGTTAGCATTTTTTGGACCAATTTAGAAAGCTCACTCCTTATTTTTACCTAGTTTGTGTCTTTTAAGAAGGCATACCTGCAGAAACTGTTTTAAATGTGACAAATAGTTTTATACTTTAACTTGTCATGATTGGCACATGATATAGTTATTATGTCTCCCTTTCGAATGAAGGGAGACATATTGTATCAGTATACTGGTTCTTCTTCTTCTTCTTCTTCTGGTTCTTCTAATGGTAACTTTTCCGGGCCATAACTTTTAAACTGTTTTAAGATATCTTGATGAAACTTTAGGTATATATGCATGCATCACCCACAGAAGGTGTGCAGTAAACTGGAATTAGGTCACTGTGACCTTCAACTCAAGGTCAAAGGTCAAATAAGTGCAACATTTTCAGTAAATTCTTGTCTGGCCTGTACATTCTAAACCGTTTAAGATATCTTGATCAAACTTGAAGTATACCTGCATCATCCACAGAAGGTGTGCATTGCACTAGAATTAGGTCTCGTGCTTCACTATATACAGAGTTGTGGCCCTTTGTTTGATTTTAATACTGAAGTTTGTCCGGAGCATATGTTCCATGTTATTTCACCTACGTTGACCAAACCTACCATATTTATGTATCATGGGAAGGCGGACTCTCTCGCACTTAAATCAGGTCTTATGCCCCACTATATACAGAGTTATGGCCCTTTGTTTATTTCTAATGCAGAAGTTTGTCAATGGCATAACTTCCATGTTATTTCACCTACGTTGACCAAACTTGCTATAGTTTTAATGTATCTTGGGAAGTAGGAGTGTCACATTCTATATTCGGAATTCGTACCCCACTATATAAAGAGATCTGGTCCTTTGTTAATTTTTTATACTGAAGTTTGTCTATTGGCTAATAAGGGAAGACATATGTTCGTCGACCGTCTGTCCGGCGTCAACTTTTTACTTTAAACAACTTCTTTTCATTGACAAAAAGGCCTAGGATGATGATATTTAGCCAGTAGCATACTGGAATCAAGGGCTACCAAGTTTGTTCAAATAAATGTCCTTGACCAACTTTCAAGGTCACAGGGGTCAAATATGTTAAGATCTTCAAACATCTTCTCAATAACTAAAGGCCCAGGGTACTGATATTGGGTCTGTAGCATGCTGGGATGAAGGGCTTCCAACTTTGTTCAAATGAATGACCTCAACCAACTTTCAAGGTCACAGAGGTCAAATGTTTAAATTTTCAAACAACTTCTTCTCAATAACCAAAATGCCCAAGGTCCTGATATTGGGCCTGTAGCATGCTGGGATGAAGGACTACTAAGTCTGTTCAAATGAATGACCTTGACCCACTTTGAAGGTCACAGGGGTCAACTATGTTAAAATCTTCAAATGACTTCTTCTCAACAACCAGAATGCCCAGGGTCCTGATATTGGGCCTGTAGCATGCTGGGATGAAGGACTACTAAGTCTGTTCAAATGAATGACCTTGACCCACTTTGAAGGTCACAGGGGTCAACTATGTTAAAATCTTCAAATGACTTCTTCTCAATAACCAGAATGCCCAGGGTCCTGATATTGGGCCTGTAGCATGCTGGGATGAAGGGCTACCAAGTTTGTTCAAATGAATGACCTTGACCCACTTTCAAGGTCAAAGGGGTCAAATGTTGTAAAATCTTCAAATCACTTCTTCTCAATAACCAAAAGGCCAAGGGTACTGAAATTGGGCCTGTAGCATGGTGGGATGAAGGACTACCAAGTTTGTTCAAATGAATTACCTTGACCCACTTTCAACCTAATGTTCTTGTTCAACATTCAAGGTCACAGGCATCATATGTTTAAATCTTTTAATAGGTTCCTATGAATCAAACACTGATATTCTGCCTGTAGCTGTATTTTAGTCCACTTTTAAGATTACAAGTGTGAGATTAATACCAGGTGAGCGATGCAGGCCCATTGGGCCTCTTGTTATTATTATCATCATTGAAACATCTATCAGCAGTCAGCATTGTCCATATATTTTCTTCAGGTTGGCTAATATAAATTGTACATTTGTATAAAGGTTCATGATATCTGTTCATAATAAAGCCACAGCAGTGTTGTTATATAGTTTCTTCAGGAATACTTGTTTAGACATACAGATATAAAACCAATGAAAATGGATATCTGTCTGTTTATAGGTGGCTCTATTAGAAGATCCAGTGGACTGTAGTCAAGATAGCTGCTCTGAGTGTATGAAGATAGCTGACAGCAAATGTGGCTGGTGTGTACTGGAAGGTGGCAGGTGAGTTTGATAATATCCACTCTGTACTGGACAGTGTGACTGGTGTGTACCAGACAGGCGAATAAGACAGTGTGACTGGTGTGTACTGGACTGGTGAGTTAGACAGTGTGACTGGTGTGTACTGGACAGGTGTGTTACACAGTGTGACTGGTGTGTACCAGACAGGCGAGTGAGACAGTGTGACTGGTGTGTACCAGACAGGCGAGTTAGACAGTGTGACTGGTGTGTACTAGACAGGTGTGTACCAGACAGGTGAGTGTGTACCAGACAGGTGAGTTACACAGTGTGACTGGTGTGTACTGAACAGGCGAGTTGGACAGTGTGACTGGTGTGTGCTGGACAGGTGAGTTAGACAGTGTGGCTGGAGTGTACTGGACAGGTGAGTTACACAGTGTGACTGGTGTGTACTGCGTATGTACTGTACTGGTGAGTTAGACAGTGTGTCTGGTGTGTACTGGACAGGTGGGTTAGACAGACATAGTTAGATAGTGTGACGTGTGTGTTCTGACAGTGTGACTGGTGTGTACTAGACTGGCGAGTTAGACAGTGTGACTGGTATGTACCAGACAGGTGAGTGAGACAGTATGACTGGTGTGTACCAGGCAGGTGAGTTAGACAGTGTGATTGGTGTGTACTGGACAGGTGAGTTTGACAGTGTGACTGGTATGTACCAGACAGGTGAGTGAGACAGTATGACTGGTGTGTACTGGACAGGGGAGTAAGACAGTGTGACTGGTGGGTACTGGACAGGTGAGTTAGACAGTATGACTGGGGTGTACCAGACAGGCGAGTTAGAGAGTGTGACTGGTGTGTACCAGACAGGGGAGTTAGACAGTGTGACTTGTGTGTACTGGACAGGTGAGTTTCACAGTGTGACTGGTGTGTACTAGACAGGTGAGTTAGACAGTATGACTGGTGTGTACTGGAAAGGTGCGTTAGTCAGTGTGACTGGTATGTACTGGACTGGTGAGTTAGACAGTGTGACAGGTGTGTACTGGACAGGTGAGTTGCACAGTGTGACTGGTGTGTACTAGACAGGTGTGTACCAGACAGGTGAGTGTGTACCAGACAGGTGAGTGTGTACCAGACAGGTGAGTGTGTACCAGACAGGTGAGTGTGTACCAGACAGGTGAGTGTGTACCAGACAGGTGAGTGAGACAGTGTGACTGGTGTGGACCAGACAGGTGAGTTAGACAGTGGGACTGGTGTGTACTGGACAGGGGAGTTAGGCAGTGTGACTGGGATGTACTGGACTGGTGAGTTAGACAGTGTGTCTGGTGTGTACTGGACAGGTGAGTTGCACAGTGTGACTGGTGTGTACTAGACTGGTGAGTTAGACAGTGTGACAGGTGTGTACTGGACAGGTGAGTTTCACAGTGTGACTGGTGTGTACTAGACTGGTGAGTTAGACAGTGTGTCTGGTGTGTACTGGACAGGTGGGTTAGACAGACATAGTTAGATAGTGTGACGTGTGTGTACTGGACAGGTGAGTTTGACAGTGTGACTGGTATGTACCAGACAGGTGAGTGAGACAGTATGACTGGTGTGTACCAGACAGGGGAGTTAGACAGTATGACTGGTGTTTACCAGACAGGCGAGTAAGACAGTGTGACTGGTATGTACTGTACTGGTGAGTTAGACAGTGTGCCTGGTGTGTACCAGACAGGTGAGTTAGACAGTATGACTGGTGTGTACCAGACAGGCGAGTAAGACAGTGTGACTGGTGTGTACTGGACAGGGGAGTTAGACAGTGTGACAGGTGTGTACTGGACAGGTGAGTTAGCCAGTGTGATGTGTGTGTACTGGACAGGTGAGTTAGACAGTGTGACTGGTATGTACTGGACAGGTGAGTAAGACAGTGTGACTGGTGTGTACTGGACAGGTGAGTTAGACAGTGTGACAGGTGTGTACTGGACAGGTGAGTTAGACAGTGTGATGTGTGTGTACTGGACAGGTGAGTTACACAGTGTGCCTGGTGTGTACTGGACAGGTGAGTTAGACAGTATGACTGGTGTGTACTGGACAGGTGAGTTTGATAATATCCACTCTGTACTGGACAGTGTGACTGGTGTGTACCAGACAGGTGAGTTAGACAGTGTGACTGGGGTGTACTGGACAGGTGAGTTAGACAGTGTGACTTGTGTGTACTGGACATGTGTGAGTTAGACAGTATGACTGGTGTGTACTGGACAGGTGAGTTAAACAGTGTGACTGGTGTGTACTGGACAGGTGAGTTAGACAGTATGACTGGTGTGTACTGGACAGGTGAGTTAAACAGTGTGACTTGTATGTACTGGACAGGTGAGTTACACCGTGTGACTGGTGTGTACTGCTGGACAGGTGAGTTAGACAGTGTGACTGGTCTGTACTGGACAGGTGAGTAAGACAGTGTGACTGGGGTGTACTGGACAGGTGAGTTAGACAGTGTGATGTGTGTGTACTGGACAGGTGAGTTACACAGTGTGACTGGTGTGTACTGGACAGGTGAGTAAGACAGTGTGACTTGTGTGTACTGGACAGGTGAGTTAGACAGTGTGACTGGTATGTACTGGACAGGTGAGTAAGACAGTGTGACTGGTGTGTACTGGACAGGCGAGTTAGACAGTGTGACTGGTATGTACTGGACAGGTGAGTAAGACAGTGTGACTGGTGTGTACTGTACAGGTGAGTTAGACAGTGTGACTGGTGTGTACTTGACAAGTGAGTTAGACAGTATGACTGGTGTGTACTGGACAGGTGAATTAAACAGTGTGACTGGTGTGTACTGGACAGGTGTGTTACACAGTGTGACTGGTGTGTACTGGACAGGCGAGTTAGACAGTGTGACTGGTATGTACTGGACAGGTGAGTTAGACAGTGTGACTGGTCTGTACTGGACAGGTGAGTAAGACAGTGTGACTTGTGTGTACTGGACAGGTGAGTTAGACAGTGTGACTGGTGTGTACTTGACAAGTGAGTTAGACAGTATGACTGGTGTGTACTGGACAGGTGAGTTAAACAGTGTGACTGGTGTGTACTGGACAGGTGAGTTAGACAGTGTGACTGGTGTGTACTGGACAGGTGAGTAAGACAGTGTGACTGGTGTGTACTGAACAGGCGAGTTGGACAGTGTGACTGGTGTGTACTGCACTGGTGAGTTAGACAATGTGACTGGTGTGTACTGGACAGGTGTGTTACACAGTGTGACTGGTGTGTACTGGACAGACGAGTTAGACAGTGTGACTTGTATGTACTGGACAGGTGAGTTACACCGTGTGACTGGTGTGTACTGTACTGGTGAGTTAGACAGTGTGACTGGTGTGTACTGGACAGGTGAGTAAGACAGTGTGACTAGTATGTACTGTACTTGTGAGTAAGACAGTGTGACTGGTATGTACTGTACTTGTGAGTAAGACAGTGTGACTGGTGTGTACTGGACAGGTGAGTTAGACAGTGTGACAGGTATGTACTGGACAGGTGAGTTACGCAGTGTGACTGGTGTGTACTGGACAGGTGAGTAAGACAGTGTGACTAGTATGTACTGTACTGGTGAGTAAGACAGTGTGACTGGTGTGTACTGTACTGGTGAGTTAGACAGTGAGACTGGTGTGTCCTGGACAGGTGTGTTACACAGTGTGACTGGGGTGTACTGGACAGGTGAGTAAGACAGTGTGCCTAGTATGTACTGTACTTGTGAGTAAGACAGTGCGACTGGTATGTACTGTACTTGTGAGTAAGACAGTGTGACTGGTATGTACTGTACTTGTAGACAGTGTGACTGGTGTGTACTGGACAAGTGAGTTACACAGTGTGACTGGTGTGTACTGGACAGGGGAGTTTCACAGTGTGACTGGTGTGTACTGGACAGGGGAGTTTCACAGTGTGACTGGTGTGTACTGGACAGGCGAGTTAGACAGTGTGACTTGTGTGTACTTGACAGGTGAGTTACATCGTGTGACTGGTGTGGACAGGTGAGTAAGACAGTGTGACTGGTGTGTACCAGACAGGTGAGTAAGACAGTGTGACTGGTGTGTACTGTACTGGTGAGTTAGAGACAGTGTGACAGGTATGTACTGGACAGGTGAGGTACACAGTGTGACTGGTGTGTACTGGACAGGGGAGTTACACAGTGTGACTGGTGTGTACTGGACAGGGGAGTTACACAGTGTGACTGGTGTGTACTGTTCTGGTGAGTTAGACAATGTGACTGGTGTGTACTGGACAGGTGTGTTACACAGTGTGACTGGGGTGTACTGGACAGGTGAGTAAGACAGTGTGCCTAGTATGTACTGTACTTGTGAGTAAGACAGTGTGACTGGTATGTACTGTACTGGTGAGTTAGACAGTGTGCCTGGTGTGTACCAGACAGGTGAGATAGACAGTATGACTGGTGTGTACCAGACAGGCGAGTAAGACAGTGTGACTGGTGTGTACTGAACAGGCGAGTTGGACAGTGTGACTGATGTGTACTGCACTGGTGAGTTACACAGTGTGACTGGTGTGTACTGTACTGGTGAGTTAGACAGTGTGACTGGTGTGTCCTGGACAGGTGTGTTACACAGTGTGACTGGTGTGTACCAGACAGGCGAGTAAGACAGTGTGACTTGGACAGGTGAGTTACACCGTGTGACTGGTGTGTACTGGACAGGTGAGTAAGACAGTTTGACTGGTGTGTACTGGACAGGTGAGTAAGACAGTTTGACTGGTGTGTACTGGACAGGTGAGTTTCCCAGTGTGACTGGTGTGTACTGGACAGGCGAGTTAGACAGTGTGACTTGTGTGTACTGGACATGGGAGTTAGACAGTGTGACTGGTGTGTACTGAACAGGGGAGGTGGACAGTGTGACTGGTGTGTACTGCACAGGTGAGTTAGACAGTGTGACTGGTATGTACTGTACTGGTGAGTTCCACAGTGTGACTGGTGTGTACCAGACAGGCGAGTAAGACAGGGTGACTGGTGTGTACTGGACAGGTGAGTAAGACAGTGTGACTGGTGTGTACTGAACAGGGGAGTTGGACAGTGTGACTGGTGTGTACTGCACAGGTGAGTTACACAGTGTGACTGGTGTGTACTGTAGTGGTGAGTTAGAAAATGTGACTGGTGTGTACTGGACAGGTGTGTTACACAGTGTGACTGGTGTGTACTGGACAGGCGAGTTAGACAGTGTGACTTGTGTGTACTTGACAGGTGAGTTACATCGTGTGACTGGTGTGTACTGTACTGGTGAGTTAGACAGTGTGACTGGTGTGTACTGGACAGGTGAGTTACACAGTGTGACTGTGTGTACTGTACTGGAGTTAGACAGTGTGACTGGTGTGGACTGGACAGGTGTGTTACACAGTGTGACTGGGGTGTACTGGACAGGTGAGTTAGACAGTGTGACTTGTGTGTACTGGACAGGTGAGTTACACAGTGTGACTGTGTGTACTGTACTGGTGAGTTAGACAATGTGACTGGTGTGTACTGGACAGGTGTGTTACACAGTGTGACTGGTGCGTACTGGACAGGTGAGTTAGACAGTGTAACTAGTGTGTACTGGACAGGTGGGTTACACAGTGTGACTGGTGTGTACTGGACAAGTGAGTCAGACAGTGTGACTGGTGTGTACTGGACAGGTGAGTTACACAGTGTAACTAGTGTGTACTGGACAGGTGTGTTACACAGTGTGACTGGTGTGTACTGGACAGGTGAGTTGGACAGTGTGACTGGTGTGGACTGGACAAGCGAGTTAGACAGTGTGACTTGTGTGTACTTGAAGTTACACAGTGTGACTGGTGTGTACCGGACAGGTGAGTTACACAGGGTAACTAGTGTGTACTGGACGGGTGTGTTACACAGTGTGACTGGCGTGTACTGGACAGGTGAGTATCACAGTGTGACTGGTGTGGACTGGACAGGTGAGTTAGATAGTGTGCCTGGTGTGTACTGGACAGCTGAGTTACACAGTGTGACTGGTGTGTACTGGACAGGTGAGTTAGAGAGGGTGACGTATGTGTACTGGAAAGGTGAGTTAGACAGTGTGACTTGTGTGTACTTGACAGGTGAGTTACACAGTGTGACTGGTGTGTACTGGACAGGTGAGTTTCACAGTGTGACTGGTGTGTACTGGACAGGTGAGTTAGACAGTGTGACTGGTGTGTACTGGACAGGTGAGTAGGACAGTGTGACTGGTGTGTACTGGACAGGTGGGTTAGACAGACATAGTTAGATAGTGTGACGTGTGTGTACTGACAGTGTGACTGGTGTGTACTAGACAGGTGAGTTAGAGAGGGTGACGTATGTGTACTGGACAGGTGAGTTAGATAGTGTGACTGGTGTGTACTGGACAGGTGAGTTACACAGTGTGACTGGTGTGTACTGTTTGATTTGAGATGAATTTACCTAATATTGGAGTGAAATGTTGTTTTGTTAAATGTTTGCGTTCGATTTTGTTTTTAGATATGCTTTGTGAATTGTTATTTTAGTGTGATACAGAGAATTGTTCCGATTAACAATAAAACCAAATTTGCGTTTGTGTCTTCCCTCAGTTGTATGGAAAAAACTAGCTGCAATCAAGATGATTTCTGGCTGCCCTCTCTAGGTGGGGAATGTCTGACACTCAGTACAATTCCTCCAGGTATCAGACACCAGTTCAGGAGTTCAATAACAAATGTAAGCTATTACTTATTCTCAATTTGAATACAATAACATATTGTACTTGTCTGTTATCTTGAAAAGGGTCTTGTCTTAGTTTTCATAATACAATGTACCTTTCAATATTGGTGATGAACTGCGGTTTTATTTCTGTTTTAATGACGGCCTAATTTCAAAGCAGGTTTGTTTTCAAAGACATTTAGACAGAAATCATTAGCTGTGTATGGTTAATTTTCAAGGCTGGAAGCGAGATCCAAGCGATATAACACAAATAAAAGGAAAATTAAATATAAACTGAAATGGTTAGAGTTGTAACCTGGTTTTTGACCTAATAACAACAAATCAACTTTAATTTAAGGACTGCTTTTTTAAAAGGTTGCTTTTTATTTTTGAGATATATTTGACTACAAGAAATCCAAGGGCTGCTTTCAAGGCTGGCCTTTGTATATAGGTACATAACAAGAAGGCAGTGTCACTGTGACCTCATTTTGACTTTTGACCTTAACCTTAAGTGCTAAAATTCAGTGTAACTCAGGTTTCTGCAGCATAATCTCATCCACTGTTTTATGAATGGGCTTCAAACTTTGCATGTATATAGAAAAAATAAGATCTAATGACCGACTTAAAAACAGGCTGTTTTCACCCTTTACAGGGCTCTACAGGTTTATTTCAAAAGGACAACATCGTGACGTCATAATTACTTGTCATCACACTACAATAGTAACGTAACGTTGCGTGTCATGAGATGGTGGGCTTTTCAAATCACCTTTTGTCCATGGTCCGTGGTCATCTGTCATCCCATCATTCTGTCATTCCGTTGTCCTTAAACGATTCTTGTTAGCGTTATTTCTCAGAAAGCGCTAGAGAAATATTTCTCAAATTTCCCATGAAGGTTCCCCATGGTCCGGATTTATGCATACATTTTTTTTTGGGACTGATCACAAAACCAAAATGGCTGAAAACTAGCCATTTTGAGTTTGAGAGTTCAAGCTTGTTAGCACCATTTCTCAGATAGTACTAAAGGGATCTTTCTCAACTTTTATATGGTTTCCTATGGTTCGTAGGTATGAACATCAAATTTTGGGACTGAAGGAAAAACCAAGATGGCTGACAGGCAGCCATCTTGTATTTGAAAATTATTTAAGTTTGTAAGTGCTATTTTTCAAAAAGTACTGGAGGGGTCTTTCTCAAATTTAACATGAAAGTTCCCAATGGTCCCTAGAAAGGCATATCAAATTTTGGGACTGAACAGGAAACCAAGATGGCTGACAGCCAGCCATCTTGAATTTGAGAATGGAAGTTTGTTAGTGTTATTTCTCAGAATGTACAAGATGTCTTTCTCAAAGTTCACATGAAGGCTCCTAATGGTTCTTAGTTCCACATTTCGAATTTTGGGGATGATTGGAAAAATAAAACGACCGGCAGGTGGTTGTATTGAATATTTCACATAAAGGTTTCTCTTGATTCTTAATTATGACTTAGACATTGGGCATGACATCATTATCAGTTGGCTCGAAAATGGAGACTTGTATAGTTCACTCTCTGTTGATGTTATACACAAACAACGGTCGGATCTTTTCAACCACCGTTCTCTTGTGAGTTAATGATGATATTGAGTATTGCATCAAGAATGTTTCCATCTAATATAGTGTTCCAATGACCATGAGAAGGTGATGTTTGAGGCTGATTTGTTGTTTTGGGTTGTGAATTAGCATCGGGTGACCAGTTTCCTAGGTGAAATTTGCTACAAAACAGAACAAAATTAAAGAGCCTTGTGCTTCACATTCATTTGCCAGACCCACTTTCAAGGTCACATCTGGTCAGATGTGTATAAACCTATAAATGCATGCTGGGATGCAGGGCTATGAAGTTTAATGGACTTGTTTGACTTCTAAGGTCATAGGGGTTTAATGTGTTTAAATTGTTTTAACAGATTCTTTTAAATGACTTAAATGACTTTATATTCATATATACTGATAATTTGCCTGTAGCTTTATTTTAAGGTTACAAGTGTGAGATTTGTACCAGGTGAGCAATGCAGGCCCATTGAGCCTCTTGTTTTTCTTATTTATATGTTCAGAATTCATTCCAGGTGACTGTCATCCTCAGCACCCCTGTTCCACTCACCCGTAAGGACTGGCAATGTCAATATGGCTCCAATGAGTGTAAACCTGATGGAATACCATGCAAGACAGATCTAATCATTTCAGAGTCAAAAATGATATGTTCCATAGAAGCTAGAACAGGTAATAATTGTAGTGTCATTTACTACAATGTATATATAGTTATTAATGTAAATGAATAATTGCTGATAAAGAATTACATCATTTTGGATCTGTAAGCAGTATTTAAGTGGTTTATAGTGAAATATCATTTATTCCCTCAGATAATATTTTGTTTTCAATGGAGTTTTGGGGACTAAGGATTCAGAATAGGACTTCAGCATTTTCTAAATTGATGTTCTAATGGAGTTTTAAGACTAAGAGCCCAGCTATATAATGGTATTATGATAAATTTGTCTTTATCTTGAAACTGATCTTGAAGCAGATAAACTTAATAACACTGTATTTTAAGTGTTAGCTTTGGACTATTGGAAGAGAAGACAAGGTTATTTGATCATTTATCTAGGCAGTACTTGTGCATCATGTACCTTCCATTTCTGTGTCTGCTTAAGTAAGCCTCCTCCTACTTCAAAATAATGATAAAACGTTTGATTGGCAGATCAAAACATTTTTTTAAAGGACAGAGTTATTTCGGTCTAGCCTCATTCCTACTCATTATGTGACCTTAAATGTCTTTATATGTTGTTCATTTACTGAAGAAAAATGTGTTTTCTCTACTTTCAGCTTTCCGACAAGAATATAAACTTGCAGATTTTAAAATCATTAGAAAATCCAACCCAAGTTATGTGTTGGCTGAAGGCTGGAGGCTTCTCTTCTATGATTGCGCTGTTTTTCAAACGTATGTAAACTCTGATATCCCGTTCCGTATGTTAAATAGCTTAGGCCAAATGGGCATAAAAAAGCATTACTATTTCTTTAAGATTTGTTTGGTATTATGTTGTTCTATTATCCATGTTTATATTTTGTAGGTATTGAATTGACAGATCATAACAATAGTATTGTTGTTACTCAACCATCATGAAATACATTAGAATTGATACCAGGTTTTTCTCCCACCTCTGCATATGAAACAGCCATCACTCAGCTACCCATACCACTGTATACCCGGAAAGTTTGGCCAAGAAAAACGGTCAAACTTCACAGTATAATTCATATTTGCCCAGTTTTAATTTCACCTTCACATTTAATTACTATGTAGAAGGGGGTCGGGTATTACTGTACCAGAGGCAGTTACTGAACACAATTTACAAATCACATTTATTCTCAAATTGTTGGGTGTTTGATGTGCATGTCAACTCATCAGCATTCCTGAACGCTGAATATATCGTCCACTTGCAACATGGGTGAAATGTTCAACATGTGTTTACTTCCAGGTTTCATGGCTATTCTTAGCGTATTTGCATATATATACAGGAAGGGACGGCTAAGCCGATGAGCGTCAATATAAATGGAAACATCACAACTTATGACAAAGAATAGTTCATTATGGAATAAGAAAACAAAAAGAACAATCATAATTTGCCAGTTGTCCAAATTTACAGTAAGCATGACATTTATTTACCATTGATGACATTTAGAGGTGTTCGATACCTGTTGAACACATTACTGTTGACTTATTTTGTAATAACAAAAACTAACGTTTTTCATTCATTTTATTACTACAACCAAACTTGCTCAAGCACCGCGCATCATCATAGCGATTTGCAAAACCAGGGACGTGCCTTTGCAGTCTGAACAATTTTGGTCATACCAATAATGCCCAGTTTTAACACATTTACGATGGATTCTCTTTTATTATTAAATTAAGGAATTAAAGATTATTATAAACATCAACTACAGTGAATTACACTCGGGAATATGTGGTACACAACCACCGTTTGTACAGCCCTTGAAGTATCTGAAATGTGATCTGTTTCATTCAATTTAAAGACCTTTGATTGATATTTTATAAGAAATAAAATAAGTGTTCAGTAATACCCTCCATGGTGTTCTTTTATTGTCGACTGGTTCAGTACCTCCACGTAACGTAATAGAACGAATCTTATAATGACGTGATATCTCCCTCCAATTCAAACCCAATATTGGTAGAAATTACGCTTTGTAGTTCAGATATGTTACCATACCCACCTGAGAGGGTAAAAACACACTTCTTTAATTTGTTGTTAATAGGTTAAGTGTTCAGTAATACCCGAGGTTTTCCCCTTAAGTGTTCAGTAATACCCGAGGCTTTCCCCTTAAGTGTTCAGTAATACTGAGGTTTCCCCCTTAAGTGTTCAGTAATACCCGGGGCTTTCCCCTTAAGTGTTCAGTAATACCTGAGGCTTTCCCCTTAAGTGTTTAGTAATACTCCAGGATTTCCCCTTAAGTGTTAAGTAATACCCGTGGCTTTCTCCTTAAGTGTTCAGTAATACT